GCTATTATGTCAACTTGTGGATTGGCAGTCACTATTTTGTTCACCTTTAGGTGTTCTTTCAGCAGCACAGCAACGCCACCGCCTTTCCTGATTTTTCTGTCCCGTCTCCAAATTGAGTAGCCCCTTGGGAATACGACCTCATTTAAAATAGCATCTTCAAGTTTTGTCTCCGTGAGTGCAACAATGTCTGGTGTCTGCAGCTGTATTATATCACTTAACTCCAGTATCTTTGATCTTACTCCATCTATGTTGGTGTATGCAATCTTGAGGAACTTGTTCCCCCTCTTCTTATTTTTCACTCCCCCTTTCTCTAATGATTTTGTTGGTTTGCCTTTATGTACCACTTTACTGGCCTGCCTACCCCTATCACTTTGTAGAAAAAAGAATTGATTTCTTCTTCATTCCTACTCTCATTTAAACGTTTTGCCTCGGCAAGGTTCAGTTTCAGCTTCTCTCTATCTTCTTTTGAAAGATCTCGTCTTAACGACCACACTTTCCCATCCTCATCACTTTGTAATTTTCTAGCATTCCTTAGTACTTCTTCCATCTGTTTGGCACCATTTAGGGTGATCCTCAAAGGTCGATCTTTCCCTTTTACATATTTGCCTATTCTCCTGTAGTCGCACACATTCTCTATGGTTGTAAGACCTTCCACGAGGCCAACAATTTTATCTACTACTTTTGCTTCTTCTACAGCTCTTTCTGACCTAGATGTTATCTCCTTTTCTTTGCAGCTAAAAATGATCAGGGACTTACTCCGATCAACTGTGTTTTGCACCAACTTCGAGTTAGATGCCAATTCTTTCCTCACTTCTAGCCTAATGTTTGTTTTATCTTGGTTGCTGCAGTGTTTGACTTCCTTTACTGCTTCTTCTATTTTTTCCTTCTCCTTGGCCACTTGTGCATAAGTGAGTTGCATATCTTTCTTGCACTGTTCTATTCCCTGTGTAACTTCCTCCATCTGTGCTGACAAATGCTGTTTCTCCTGTTGGAATTCCTTACCTAACCTATTGTAGTCATTTATGTTTAAATTTACTTTAACTTCTTCCAAAGCTATTTTTAAGAGTCTATTTTCTTCTTCCATGGCTTTGCAATTTGTTTGCAATTTAATCTTATCCTTGCGCAAGTCTTTCACTACACCCTCAAGACATACAACTTTGCTATTTAAATGGTCATTACTTTCTTTCAATTTACTAATTATTTCTACTTGAGAGGTCACGATAGTATCTAATTTTACTACCTTGTTGTATAGACTGGTTATCTCAATGCTTTCTTCACTGAATCCAGCAAAATCAAGCTCTGTTTTGTATTTCCTCTTGCAGGCGGCCATCTTGAATGTTGTTCTCTGCACTGGAAACACTAGGGGTAACTTTTTCTCATCCACTATTTCACTTCCCTTGGCACATTCCTGTTATCTCACCTATTTTTCAAAAGCACTATACCTTTATGTTCTCTGGGACACCACTCACTGGTGTGGTTCACCACACCTTCATCAGACAACCTGATGAAGGTGTCGTGAACCCCGTGTATCCACGGGCCATTTAAATCTTGCGTAGTACTCCAAAGCATCATATGATGCGATGCGCAATTTACTGCAAGTCGGTCAAAGCATCATATGATGCGATGCGCAATTTAAGGGTTAAACTGCTCAGCATAAGGAGATCAGAAGTGAAAAATATTTGAATTATGTAAAAATAACTTAAAAAGTTAAACAAATCTCCAACTTATTGGCTTCAGCGTCATGAAACTTTCATTAAAATATTTTCAGAAATTGATTTTAGACAATTTTTCTGGGGGTAACCCCGTCAGCTCTGCGGAGCTATCCAGGCTGAATGGATATGCATAACTTTCTGGCATCAGTCAAAGAACAAGAGGTCATAGATTGAAACTAACTTAACAAAGATGCCTAAGAAATAAAAGAAAATTCACTTTCGCAAACAGAGTGGTAGACGGTTGGAACAAGTTAAGTGAGAAGGTGGTGGAGGCTACAACCGTCAATAGCTTCAAAGCTTCCATTTGTTCATGATAAAGAGTGCTGGGTTGACGGGACACCACGAGCGTAGCTCTCATCCTGTAACTACACTTTGGTAATTACAATGGCCACCCGTGTCTCGCCTGCTGAGGCCGAAAACCTCTAGAAGGACGGAACCATAGGACACGCAGGGACATGGAACCAAACCCGGGGAGGAGCTGAACCCAAATCCAACTCGTATGTAGAAGGGGGGGAAAGGAAAACCTCACTCCTTGCAACAGAAAGCTCCACTCAGACGGTTTGAAAACCCAGGCGGGATCTAACAGGGCCTACAGCCCCCAAGTCAGCTCCTTCCCAACCCTGGGACCCTCCATGTCAGGCCCTGGGGGCAAGCCCTCCTCCAAAGCTCTGGTCTCAGAAGACAAAACCAAGGCAGCCGGGAGGGGGGAAGGGGAGCCCCAAACCCACTACGTCGGCAATCTAACCACCAGTTCTTCAGCTGATGTGATTGTGGCTCGGTCGGGTGGCTCCAGCTCTGGATTCTCTGTGTGCTGTACCTGGTGTTCAGTACTGCTCTTGCGGTGACGTGCAAGCTGGGAGTTTTACTCCTGGGTACTCAGGAACTGCATGTGCTCAGGCTGCATGTGCTTAGGGTTCCCTTCCCTAAGTGCCCAGTAAGTACTTCCCTTGGTGCTTGGGGTTCTCTTCCACAAGTCACCTTGGGGTCTACCTTTGTGGTGTTCTGCTGATTAGTGATTGACTGCCCTAAGTATTTGGGTTCTATCCTCCCTTGTTTACCTTTGGATAAGTGGTAGTTTTTGCACTGGTGAGGAACAGGGTACTGCGCAGCTAGTTTTCACCCTTTACAGCGGCCGGCTCTGTTCCTCCTGTATACGTTATCCTCTTGTGAGGTTTTTCTTTTCTTTTTGTTTTGGCCTGACAAACAGCATTTGCAGTTTGTTTGGTAGACTTGGGCGCCGGTGGAAACTTCGTCTGGGCTTACCCATAGCGATACCAGTGTAGGGGCCCTGGGAATCCCCACGGGGACACACAGGGTCCGATGGATGTGACCCCTGGGTCTCCTCTCGCCTTGTGTGAGTTCGAAGGTTGTTTTGTCCCCATGTCTCAGGACGACGGTCATTGTTTTTGCCTCCATCATGCTGCCTATTGGATCGGTGACACCTTCGACCATGAGTCCTGTGAGCACTGTTGCTTGCTTGTGACTCAATTCACCCAATCTACTGATGACATTATATGGGTGCAGGTGGCTCAGGCATTACATGCCAGGTTTAGGCTGCTGCAACGTGCTAGGTTGGTTGCTTCCCCAGATGCCCCGTGGCTGCCCCGCTTTGCTTATAGGGACCTGGACTTGAGGGTGATGGTCACTTCAGCCTTGGTTCAGTCCGCACGCCCTTGTTCTTCCCCTGCTGTGGTTCATTGTTCCCCTTCCCCCTCCCCTTGTTTTCGGCTCCGAAGTGTCTGAGGGCTTCGGAGTAGGGGCAGGGTTTAGAGGTTTAGATGGACGAAATAATGCTGTGGTGCTGTATCTAGCGCTGTGAACATCGTGAACAGCATTGAATCACTGATATTTGAACATTGTACACAGTCATTATCACACTCAGGCTCTTTTGTAATACTATCATGGCTAAATAATACAAGTTATATATATATATATATTTTGACATTATTAGGCGATGCTGTGGTCACAAGCTGAACAACAGTGCTGTGAGCTCATGCTGTGTGCGCCGGCCTTGGTTGCTCACTCAGTACCGAGGCTCCCACACCCGGGAATGTGGCCCACAATTTTTTTTTAAAGATGGCATCTGTTTATAAGAGCCATGGGGAAGCTGATGTGAACCCCATGTAGCCGTGGGAGTTTTGAATGGAAAGCTAAAAATAAAAATACCCAGAGACACGTTGCGCATCCCAGATGTGGGCCTGCAGGCGCGTTGCGCAGTTTAAGGGTTAAAGAAAATGGCATCTGTTTACAAGAGTCCTGAGGAAGCTGATGTGACACCCATGTTGCCACGGGACTTTTAAATCTTGCACGGTACATCCACACACCATATGTGTGCAATTCCGTGGCAGTTACTCACCACATCATATGATATGTTGTGCAGTTTAAGGGTTAAATTGCTATACAGATATTTCAGTATTCCAAAAAACAAATGAAACATATTCTCAAAAGTCCTTCTTGAAAATTTTTCTGATAGCAAATTACTGAAAGTCAGAACAAATGTTATTATGAGTGAATTTGGTTATATTGATAACTGGTCAAAAGTTAGCTTATCTAACAGTCAATGACCCAGCTTGAATGATTGAACAATATGACTAGCAAAAAGTTTTCCTTCATAAGCTAAATTATGAATTGAAGAAATGTTCAAGTTGTATCTTAGGTATCCATCCTCACATTCATTGCCGTCTATCTGCCCTGATGTTCACATGTACACCCTTGAATGAATTCACAAATGAATTAAATATTTTTTTCTGAATGGAATCACCTATCCAGCAAACAGCATAAGCTCTTTCTAAGGCATTCACTTGTGAGAAAATCTAACATAACATAGCACAATCCAGTTTGTTGTTAACTCACAAACAAAAATTCAGAGCTAGAATCCTGGGCGAGATAGAAATGGCTCGGTGCATTTCCTATCACCTAATGCACCTGTTCTCCTAGCATTAAAAAGGAACCCAGTTAGTCAACCATGATGTGGGGTTGCATCCTAGGGAGGGTCAGTAATTCAACCTTGTGGGAGACTTCAATATAAGCCTAACATGTATGTATACATATGTTCACTGGCTGCCTGTCCCCCAACACAATGAATTATTTACCCTACATCATTGATCAAATGCTATCTAGTAACTATTATTATTTCCTAAACTCAGTTTTCCATTTCCAGCATTAAACTGTAGCTGCCAATCTTAAATCATGAAGCTTATCAAGATTATTTGAGCCTTCATCTAAATTTGTTCTTACCCTCATACGCAAGTTTACTTCTGCATGTTGTATCCTCATGCATAGGCTTACCTCTGAGTGTGTCGTATCCTAGGAGACCTTCTCGGGGAGCGTCGTGCACCCCCAAAACTGAAGATTCTACTGGGTGACTTTTCCTCGGGGCAGCTCATGTCTGAAGATGACGAACTCATCTCTTTAGACATCTTGTCCAAAAGCTTGGCAAATGTGACCTTTTTGTCATGCTTGGAAGGTGAAGGAGCCAGAGATATGAGAGAGGTTTCCCGTATAAGGCCCTCAGGCACACACCCATCGCCAGCATCACTTCGTAGTAGTTCAGTGGCTATGTCAGCACTGCGGGTTCGTTCCTGTAATAACAGCACACAATTTTAGTGATATTAAACTAATGGAATAAAAGGAATTTTGACAATGAAATGCTGGCAGAGTTCAAGCAAAAATAAAGTTTTAAATTAAAAGGAATAAATGGTACATAATGTTGACAAACCACACACAAGAACGTGAAGGGACTACGATGTTTCGGTCTATCCTGGACCATTCTCAAGTCGATTGCAAAAATAAATTTTTAAATTAGAAGGAATAAATGCTACACAATGTTAATGAAACCACACACTAGAAAGTGAAGGGACGACGACGTTTCGGTCCATCCTGGATCATTCTCCATTCACAATTGACTTGAGAATGGTCCAGGACAGACTGAAACGTCATAGTCCCTTCACTTTCTAGTTTGTGGTTTGGTCAACATATTTCAGCCACATTATTGTGACTCCTCGTCTGCAATGGTACACAATATTAAATCATGCAAGGAGGATTGAGGAAGAGCTAGTATATCACACAGAATACCGACTAATTAAAGAAAATTATATACAATTCAAAATAAGATACAATAACAGTAAAAGGTTCAATACATGCACAAAATATTAATATTACACAAACATTACAAACAAATAAAGTAAACTGAAGTACTGATTAAGAGATACATAAATGCATATATTAATTAATTAAATTATGCACGAAAATATATTGATACCAGTTGCCAAATATACATGTTTAAGACAATTTACTCAAAATCTATTAGAATACTCAGCTAATTTCTACACCATACACTAAGACTCTTAACAACTGTGTTTACATCTTTTATGCAAATTTTTACTGAATGGAACGGTAGTTTGCAGTTAGCAACTTAAGTCCTCAGCATTACTCAGTGACCATCACTGGAAGGTCACCAAATAATGGTCGACGATGGTCACTTAATGATTCAGTGATAATGTCACTGAATCATTAGGCACGCTACTATTTCTACCCAAAACTGGTTATAAAACCAACCTTAAAATTTGATACAAACATTACAACTATTTTCCACATTTATAATTTAACTCTCCTCCTTTTTTGTTGTGATGTTCATAGTTTACCAGTGTTAGGGGCAGGAAGCCTGTTTGGCTTATTGAGGTCTCTCTAGACCAACTACTAACCTTCATGCAACCCACAATAGCTACATAATTCCTGGCTATATATATATATGTCGTTCCTAGTAGCCAGAACGCACTTCTCGGCCTACTTTGCAAGGCCCGATTTGCCTAATAGGCTGAGTGATTTTCTTTATTTTCAATAAATTGTTTCCAATTAGTTTATTTTAATTATTATTAATATACAGTGGAACCTCTATTAACGAGTGGCTCTATTAACGAGTTTTTCCAGTAACGAGCAAGCCACTCGCAGCAAATTTGTCTCTATTGACGAGCTCGCCTCTATTAACGAGTGAAACCACATGGCGCTTCCTAGCGTCTCGCGGGTTCTCACAAATTCTCGGACGCCTCCGACGCCAGTGTTGTTGTTGTATCTCACACGACAAGCATCCCTATGGATTTATTTGAGCTTTTCTTTGGGTTTTTAGTGGTTTTGCGACTATAATTTGTAACACATGATGTCTCCAAAGAAGCTGCTTGCTAAAGATAGTGTTGTCAAGAGGAAGACACAATTACTGTGGATTTAAAGAAGGAAATTATAGCAAAGCATGAGTGTGGTGTCTGTGTGATTGATCTCACAAGGAAGTATGGCAGGTCCTCATCAACAATTTACACCATTAGTAAGGGAATGAGGAGGTAAGGGAGGATGCTGCCTCTTCCACTGAGATCAGGGAAGTTGGAATGTTTGAAAAGGTGAACGCATTCTTGGAAAAGCTGTCCTGATAAAGCAGTGACAACCAGGTGTGTGAAAATGTTTAATTAATTTATCACTTTGTGATAACACTTTATGAAAGTGTTATCACTTTCGCAGGTATATGTCGCTTGAACGTAACACACTTTTTTTCTCTTAAATGCACCCAAACACCACGCTCAAGCGTCATTTGAGCAAATATTTCTATAAAATCCAATTCTTATCCGATCGACTTGGGGATTGTATAAATGTTTGCCATGAAATTTCCGTTTTCTTTAATAACCACATTGCCTATTTGAGAAAACGGCATTGTATTGTATCTTCGTGGTAAGACTATTATATTGTTGACACAACGAGTGTAATCAACGTAGTTTTTTATTTGGTGCTGGTCTAACGCATCCTTGTGTGACATTTGAAATGAAATTTGGGTGAAATTCCCAAGAACAGAGAGTCCGCCTGACTCAGAGGTGGATATTCTCCTTCCACACCATAACCCCTCTCATCCTTCCCACCTCCCCATCGTCTCCCTCAAGCCAGCAACTACTCTTCATAAGGTAAAGTAAATATTAAAACACTACAACAAAACATTTATATTTAAATGTGCAATATTATATTTACATAAAAAAAAGTCATTCAAGTATGGATGTTTTTGGGAGTGAAACGGATTAAATTTATTTCCTTTATTTTAAATGGGGAAATTTGTTTCCAAAGACGAGTTTTCCAGGTAACGAGCTCGGTGCCAGAACGGATTAAACTCGTTAATAGAGGTTCCACTGTATTATATTAGGAACATATATTATTGACTTAGTTGTGTTAGTTTAGGTTAAGATAGGTTAGTTAGGGTTGGTTGGGTTCGGTCATACAGTATATCTACGTTAGTTTTAACTCAAATTTAAACAATTTAACTCATACAATATGAAATGGATAGCTTTATCATTTCATAAAAAAAAAATTAGAAAAATGCATAAATTCAGGAAAACTTGGCTTATTAGGCATATCGGGTCTTGCATAGTAGGCTGAGTACTGCGTTCTGGCTACTAGGTACAACATACATATTATATTATATATATATATATATATATATATATATATATATATATATATATATATATATATATATTATATATATATATATATATTATATATATATTATATATATATATATATATATATATATATATATATATTATATATATATATTATATATATATATATATATATATATATATATATATATATATATATATAGATATATACACATACATACATACACACATACACACACACAGTGGCACCTCGACTTACGATTGACCCTACTTGTGATAATTTCGAGTTACGATGTAAATTTCATCGAAAAATGCGACTCGACATCCGATGGTGTCGTCGACTTACGATATTTGTTGGTACACGTTCGGGTCAACCGAGTGCGTGGTTCCTGGTCACGAGGCCGACCTGCCTCAGTTTACTACAGGTGCCCGCTTAGTGAGGATCGCGCCTATAAGAAATTTTGCTTTTGTGGTGAATTTTTGCATTTTGAACATTAAAGTAATTATTATATATCATGCCATGAGTCCCAGGAAATTCAGTGGTAAGGCTCAACATATGAGATCCCATGTAAGGATGACCATAGAGCAGAAACAAGAGATCATTCGTAAATATGAAGATAGTGTGCGGGTTGTTGAACTGGCTAGGCAGTACAACAAATCTTAGTCAACGATATCCACCATAATGGCTAAGAAAAAGGACATTATGGGTGCTAAAGTGATGCATCATTACAAACAAATGTTAAAATGAAGGGAAAAAACAAATGTCTCTTGACAAATTTGTAGTGAGACAAACAAGCACTGAAACACAACCAGGTCCTAGTGGTAATCAGGCAAAACAGGAGAGAGAGTACCCTAGAGAAAACTTCACTCCCTGATGAGATAATGGAAGGGGACTCCCCTTCCAAACAGTAACAACTCTTCTCTTCCCCCCTCATCACCATCTTCCATACGCCATCAAGAACCTTTCATAAAGGTAAGACAAACTTTGGTACTGTATTATAATTAGAAAAAACATTGTATTCAGTACAAAATGTATTTGTATGTTAATATTTTGGAGGGTGGGGAATGGATTAATTCAATCCCCTTTATTTCTTATGGGAAAAATCGCTTCGACTTATGATATTTCGACTTACGATTCGTCTCTGGGAATGGATTAGCATCGTAGGTCGAGGCCCCATTGTATATAGATATATAAATATATATATTATATAGATATATATATAGATATATATAGATAGATATATATATAGATAGATTATATATATATATATATATATATATATATTTATAATCATATATATATATTATACAGTGGTACCTCGGAATGCGAGTGTCCCTGTATGCGAGTTTTTCGGAAGACGAGCAGGATTTACTCCAAAAATATGTCTCGGAAGGCGAGGGTTACCTCGGGACGCGAGTTTGTTGATACGTGTACAGGCCGACTGGCGCGTGGTGGCATGGCGATCGCGCCTCAGTTTACCAGTGTCTCGTGTCCAGTGACTATCCCACTTGAATTCTTCACAAGGATTTACAGTTTTTTATCGGTTTTTTGGCCATTTGAGCATAAAAGTTGTCATTATATATCTTGCCATGGGTCTCAAGAAAGCCATTGGTAAGGTTCAACCTAAGAAAATAGCTGTGAGTAGAGGATGTCCCTTCTTGATTAAGAAAATGTGTGAAGTATGGGAAGAACTGCAAAGTTTTGTTGAAAAAACTCACCCAGATAAAGCTGTAGCAGGCCGTTGCATTGACCTTTTAAATGATAATGTGATGTCTTACTACAGACAATTGTTAAAATGTAGGGAAAAACAAGTGTCATTAGACAAATTCTTAGTAAAACAAGCAAGTCCTAGTGGCATGCAGGCAAAATGTGCCAGAGTGTGCATACCAGTGAAGTCCTCACTGCCTGATGTGATAATGGAAGGGGACTCCCCTTCCAAACAGTAACTCCTCTCTTCCTCCCCCCTCCTCACCATCTTCCATACGCCTACAGCATTCAACAGCAAGGTAAGTAATAACTTGAACATAGTTTTGTAGGTTTATTTAGATGAATTAGGTATAAAAATTTAGTTTGATGTGGGGTTTTTGGGGTAGTCAGGAACGGATTAATTCATTTCCCTTTATTTCTTATGGGGAAATTAGCTTCG